ATATATATATATTAGAATGGTACCCTTTCAAAAGGTACTAGTATGTACTAGTACGTGATTTTAAAGTACTACTGTATACTTTCAAAGTACTAATATGTAATTTTAGGTACTATTATGTGCCATTAAAGGGTAAATAATGCACAAAGATGTACCTTTTTTAGCTTTTGCACCTTAGAGTACCCCAGTGACAGATTTGTACTTTTTTTCTGAGAGTGTATAATTTAATCAAGTTTTTGTTACAGGTAAAATGTTTCACATTTGGAGAACATCAGTCTTTCACTTACAGTTGTGCTCAGCATCATTACTGTAGTTGCCGTTTCTACATTTGTCTACATAAGAAGAGGTAATGTCTGTTTTTCATTGATTCATTTAGATGCAAAATAATTAGTCTTTTGAAAAGTCTTAATTTTGTAGTTGCATTTGAACGGAAAGAAATTGTTGCACAATTATAATGTTTATTTATCTTATTCATTGAATTGTGAAATTTCTTCAGTTCGTCATTTCAGGAGGATTCAAAAAGGTGAGCTTATGTTTTTAATCGGCCACCATTATTCCATAAAATCATTCGAAATAACGTCTAAATGTGTGGTATATTCATGGAATTTACTGTTGCTTATAATACAGTAATTGTGCTAGAAATTGTGACTAGAATAACTATGCATTGTCTTATCTTATATCTTAATGTGATTTGTTGAATTTCAATGTTGGACCAAATTCATTTTAAACACTATTAAAACATTTAAACATGTCTTTTTTTAAAGATCACAAAGAGAAGAAAATATGCAGGTGAGTAAGAAAATATTATTTATACCTTTATTAATTCATTTGACCTTTATTGTTGTTGTGAGCTGGCATCAGTATTAGTCATGTATCAGCTCTCAATATGTACGTCATGTAAATATAATCATTTTCATTAGCGGATGTGACACTGGATCCAGATACAGCTCATCAATATCTCATCTTGTCTGATGATGGGAAACAAGTGCGACGTGGAGAAAAGAAACAGAATGTCCCAGACAACCCTGAGAGGTTTGATAAATGCGGCAATGTCCTGGGAAAGCAGGGATTCTCCTCGGGAAGGTTTTATTTTGAGGTGCAGGTGAAGGGGAAAACTGATTGGGATATAGGAGTGGCCAGAAAAGGGGAAGATCACACCAAGTCCTCAGAATGGTTACTGGAAAGTGCGGTTGAGAAATGGGAACCAGTATAGTGCCTGTGCTGGACCCACTGTCTCTCTCTCTCCCTGCAAGTGAAGCCTCAGAAGGTGGGTGTGTTTGTGGATTACGAAGAAGGTCTGGTCTCCTTTTATGATGTGAAGTCCAGGTCTCATATCTACTCTTTCACTGATTAGTAGTTCACTGAGGATCTCTATCCATTCCTAAACCCATGTACAAACATTAAAAACAAATACTCTGCCCCACTGATCATCTGTTAATTTCAATGTATGTATGAATGAACTCACTTAAAAAATAATTGTATTATATTGTAGTAAATTTGCTTCTTAATTAACATTTATTTTTTTAGTAAACTTTTGTTACGTTTGGCAAATGATTTATCAAAAGCGTTGCATTCGAGGTATACATTTTATCAGGTCTTGCATTCACTGGGAATCGAACCCATGAACTTGATTTTACTATAGCCTTTGCAAAGAATAGATAAGTATATCCATTGTCTTGTATGATGTTGTGTGTGTTGTAGATTGGAAAATTTTTAATCAGTTTTCATTATATTTTATTTTCATTTTCATTTAATTTCAATTGCTGAGAGCTTGTTTTCAACACTGCCTCTCAAATGATACAACTCTTTGTAAGCATGTAGAGTGCATAGAATTCACTGTGATGTTTTTAATTCCTTGACAAGTCTTATAAGTATAATCTGTTGTGAAAATGCTGTATAACTTTATTAAAGCCATGATTAAAACTGTGAATTTTTAAATCTGTCCAGGTCACAGTAGAATGTCAAAAAGAGTTTGTTCATTTGCAACTGGACTGTTTTAAATCATGAAAGACACTTGCTCAGTGAGTTAGAGGAAAGTTCCCGCATTCCCTGCAGAAGCTTGGGTTGGGTTTCCGGTCTGAAAAAAATTATAAAACACCATTTTCAGGTCTTTAGACAGTCATCTCAGGCCCTAGGATCTGTGGGTCAAAGGTTAGTTCTGAGACTGGATTTTGTTCATTCTGAATAACTGAGTAGAGCTCAGGATCAGCAAATGCAAGAAACCTTCTCTGGAGTTTGTGCACCTGCTCCGATACGTTCTCCATCCTTTCTGATGTCTTCAATTCGTTTAGTGCGATCAGGTTCTGACTCCAAGCCCTGTTTCAGATACACTATGCGAGCCTCCATTACAGTTTTGTATACACTGCAAAATTTCTGCAAGAAGTTGAAATGATCCTCTTCCTTTAGAGCCGAACTGATAGTTTGCTGGGCAGTCTGAAGAGCGCCCAGTCTGGCTGACACTGAAATCTGAAAACTTGTGAAGACCAGATCCTTCAGGGCTGATCCAGTCTTCATCAGCTGACTAATACAGTTCTCCAGAGTCTGCTTTTGGTCTTTCTGCCACTTTTCCAGCTCTTGAGCCTGGTTCTGCCTCTGAGCCAGTGCCTTTAACTCTTCTCTCAACTGCCACCAGCTCTATATGGGCGGTCTGTAGCGTCTTCATGTTATGCAGCTGATGTCTACTACACCATCAGCTTGCCGTGAGCTGAGCATTTGCTGGCCGTTTGAATAGAGGAACCTGATTCTACAGGATTAGTCAGTGGGATGGGTTTGCAGCAGCACTGGAGTGGTCAGGTGGGTTTGCAGGTGCTGAGTGAGCACACATAGAGATTTCACACTTCAAGATGGTCTTCAGCACCGGAGGTTTCACCTTCACACATAAATCAGCTTACAAAGGGTTCCTTGGGAACTTCAGGCATGGCCGACATACTTGCTGATGATTTTCTCGTTTTCTCTTCAAATGTTCTAAAATCTCTTTCTCTGTCCTCACTATATGAGTCTGTAAGGTGAAACCCTCTAATACTTTCTTTATATACACAGCAACAGACCTTTGGTAATTTTTTATAGTATTTGTTAATGTAGGCTATTACTAATGGAATGATATTTGCTAAGATACAGACTACAGAGACGTTTATGATGGTTCACTTGTGACCTTTCTTTTACTATGGACAACTTATCTACTGATGTAGCCATGTTTTTAACTGATCCACCCTTCCTCATGACTTATGTATGAATTTATCATTAACATGGTTAAATAAAATAAAGTAATATTAAATTAAAATTTTTGACTTGAATATAACAGTCTTTATTATCAACTCCAAATCGTCCTTTAAAGGGGTCATATGATGCGATTTCAATTTTTCCTTTCTCTTTGGAGTGTTACAAGCTCTTCACCAAATACACAAAATAATGTTCTTTTTAGCAGCATCATATGACCCCTTTAAGTTCTCAGCGATAATCATTGTTCTGCTTTGAAGTAGTTACTATACCAGTACAAATTGAACTACACTTTGTTTGAAATAGAGAGAGAGATCAAAATGCATTCCATTCAGTAACAAATCAAATATGTAGCCTATACCCAGGGGCGCCGCTAAGGGGGGGAAGTTAGGACGATTCTAAGGGCCCACGCACTTTTGGGGCCCCCAGAGATCTGTTTTATTAGTAGTAACAGTAGTAGTAGTAATGTAATAGAAATTATAAATGTATCTACCACAAAACGATCTCAAAGGAGGCTTTTATTAAGCAAATCAAGGAGTGAATTACTCATCCGGTTTAAAAAAAACTTTAGCTGGGTTTCCACAGGCAGGGTCACAATTATCTACAGTGTATTAAGCTAGAGGTTTTTGGGTTAAGGTTCATAATGTAGCACATTTTTAACATTGTATGCTGTATGTGCATAGGTAGCTAGCAAACAAGGAATACAGCTGTTAAGCTAATAGTCACATTTAGCTGAGTAAGATCATGATTGAGAAATGTTGGATACTGCTGGAAATTTTGAATAGCTAGGTTGGCTTGTACACTATATTGCCAAAAGTATTAGGTAGTAAAAATGTTTAAGCATATAATGACATTGTGTGCTTCTAATTTTATACCAATAGTTTGGACAGGACCCTTTTCTATTC